GTTGGACTAGAAGACCTCCAAAGTCCCTTCCAACTCTGCTATTCTGATAGTCTTTATCCCAACTAATGATGCATCACCTGGGCTTATTTAGTTTGGCCACCACCTCAGCGAGCAAGGAAAATCTTATTTGAGCCTTATTGGATGCAAAAGGAAATTAAAAAAGGACTTCAAAAAAACCACTTAGCAGAAGTAGAATTAGCTTGATATTGACTTCGAGAAATCGGATTTAAGAAGCTAGAGCAGAGCTCTTTCGAAGATTTGCCGTACGAGAGAGATGATTTCTCCTAGTTTAAGAATATAAGAACTAGAGGATCTGATCTACGCAGCCCATAATAAGACAGCCTTTAACCTCAAGAGACCATCCCATATTAATTGGGATGACAAGAGCCAATCAATGGGGCCGGGTGGTGAACTGTGTTTCTTCTAACAAGCCACCATTGACTGAGTTGGTTCAACATGGTGGAGTACAATTCATGGTTTAGGAATGACAAAGGCTGGGCTTGCGCAAAATGGCAAACCCAACAAACCATGTAAACATGTGAACTCAACTACGGAGTAGAGCAAGGGCCTTCCAACTTTGCCCTTTTATGACTTGTGGACTTCAACGCCCAGAATTACTCAGCTAGGTACGCCTGGCTGAGGAATTCTGAAAGTTGAAGTCCACAAGTCATAAAAAGGCCAGGTTGGAAGACCCCTGGAGTAGAGGCTGGATGGAATGGCCCCCAACTACACCTGTTTATCTGAAGAAACATATATTTGGCCCCCTTCTAAGTCTTCTGTTGAACATCTTCTCAAGTTCTCCCGTTGTAACAGCGAGAAAACCTTCTCTTTATGTGCTGCATAATTTTATAAACCGTTACAATATTTTATTTCCCTCTTTAAAGAAGCTGTCCATTTATTTTTTTTATGCCACTGTTTTAACAAGACTGGGAAGAAATTAGATTAAAACTGAGGACTTTTATGGCTTCTTTTCAAGGACAATTTCTGAATTGTGCAGCTTATTCTAGCATTTACATCTGTTTCTTCCACGGGGAGCTGTAGAACGCTCTAATAATGTCTCACTGGATAGATAGATAGATAGATAGATAGATAGATAGATAGATAGATAGATAGATAGATAGATAGATAGATAGATAGATAGATAGATAGACAGACAGACAGACAGACAGATAGATAGATAGACAGATAGATGATAGATAGATAGATAGATAGATAGATAGATAGATAGATAGATAGATAGATAGATAGATAGAGCAATTATTTTACTCTGTTTTATGGATTTCAAAAATAAACTATCAGGGTTCTCTTCAGAAAATAATATTTTAAAAAGATGAAAAAAGGAACCAATTTGACATCACCTTTTTCAGTTCAATTGATTGACATTAAAGAGAAGAAAGGACGACATGAAGGAAGGAGAGAGAGATGAGAGGAGGAAGAGACGAAGGGAGGGAGGGAGGGGGGAAAGAAGGAAGGAAGGAGATGGGAATGGGAAGAAGGAAGGAAGGAAGGAAGGAGGGAGGGAGGGAGATGGGAATGGGAAGGAAAGAAGGAGATGGAATAAAAATGGAAGGAAGGAAGGAAGGAAGGAAGGAAGGAAGGAAGGAAGGAAGGAAGGAAGGAAGGAAATATTTGCAACCTTCATGCGAGATGGGACTTAGCTACAGTAAGTGGCTATTTTAGACAATCTTTGATCTTCTAAACCAGATATGGACCTGATTAATACTGGAGATCACCAGAAAGACCTATGGCTATAGGCCAAGTTGAGAAGTAAGAAAAAAAAAAGAGAGAGAGAGAACATTCTGAAAAAAAAAAGAAGAATCAATTTCACTCGTTGCAAAGAAAACTACTAGGGGACATGCTTCCTAATTCACCAGGATTTGAACTCACTGCAAAGATATCTATACTTTTCCATCGATTAACAAGGACAAGAAACTTTTGATGAGACAAAACCATCTGTCCCAAATCCTCGTTCTACCCGGGAAAGGTCTCGCATGCCCCAGAAATTTGAACGAAAGGTCAGGAAATTTTTAATAACAACTTCACCCCCTCTCCCCCCCCAAAAAAAAGAAAAGAAAAAGAAAAAATAGCCCCCGAGCCGATTTAATTACTTAGCAAGAACTGGATGAAAGAACATATGCTCCGCGTTTTACCGATCGTGCTTGCCAAATATTTTACATAAACGTTAATTGGCGAAAATCCCATGCCACAGAGGAAAAAAGCAAATGTAATTAGGGCTAGGTTAGCACCGAGCAAAGTTGGGGCCTGGAAATGTGAGAACAAATTACTCAATATTATCCTGAAAAACACGTTCGTGCGTCTTTCCATCGCGCACAGCAATCCATCACTCCTTTTTTTTTTTTTTCCTTTTCTCTCTTGCTGGTGGGGAAGGAGATTTTAATACCAGCGTTGCTGCCAAATGCGAGTTTCTTGCTAGTAAACATCCTGTTCTGTCTCTTGAGATAACCCAAATTGCTTTGCTCGCCCAGAATTAATACTTCTATCAGTTCTCTACATCTTCCCGAGGAAAAAATCGCTCACTTTGCTTCGCATGTTTGAAAGCAATTTGCTGGAGCAACCGGCTACGCCGGTACAGTACGGACACTCCTTGACTTACAACAGCTTGTTCGAGGTTACAACGGCACTGAAAAAAAGAGACTTATGACCGTTTTTCACACTTACGACCGTTGCAGCATCCCCAGGGTCACGTGATCCAAATTCAGATGCTTGGCAACTGGTTCATATTTACGACGGTTGCAGTGTCCCGGGGTCACGGGATCCCCTTTTGCGACCTTCAGTGGGGTTACTAACTTATCAACTGCCGCGATTCACTTAACAACTGAGGGAAGAAAGGTTGTAAAATGGAGCAAAACTCTCTTAACCGACGTCTCACTGAACAACAGAAATTGTGGGCCCGACTGTGGTCATAAATATTATAAAGTCGGGTCAACAGTGGAGAATTCTGATTTTTTCCAATGTAGACTTAGGGATAGCTCCGCTGTTCATGGCTCCAGACTCTGTTAGATATATTGTTACTCCCACCAGTTATCTTAGCCAGTTGGAGTCAGCAAAGCATTTTTGCTCGCACGGTGCCATGCGCTTCCATCGGCCGTCCAGCATGGCAAGTATAAAAACCATACTATTGACTGACTCTGCTTCTGTGGCTCAGGAGATGTGGACACCATTGGACACATACGCCTTCAATGCTCTTTCTATAGAGATATTCGAAAAAAACTATATCCTCCCAATAATCTATAGGTATCCTGGCTGTTCTGACGCGACTTATCTCCAGTGGCTGCTTAAGGGTTAACAGGCTGTGATTACAGCACAGGTGTAAAAATAAGATAAATATTTTTAGATCTTTTTAATAACCCTTTTTAAATTAATTTTAGTATATGCATTCTTACTCGTAATTACATCATACTCAGTGCATTTTTATATATGCACGTATATAAATTGGAGTGTACATTGGAGATGGTGACGCTTTTGAGAGCTGCATGCCATGAAATTTCATTTTAATGTATGCCGGTTAGCGTACATTGAAAGTGACAATAAAGTTATTCTAAGTTTGTGATAGTTTTGCCAGAATCCATATGGGTTCTGTCCCGTGGATTTGAGGACCCAGAAAAGGATGCATTTGTTGACCACGTCAAGGATGCTGGATTAACATGGTCTTTATAAAAAAGATGTTTCAAAGGTGTAACTTTGAATACATGTTTGCAATCCCTGGTAATATGCAAAATGCAAATCTGAAGAAGTGTGAAGAAGCATTTGCGGGAACACATCTACGAGTGTCAGAAATGAAAACTGACTCTGCAGTTTTCTGGGTCGGTAAATCTAAGCTCCACATAACGTGTGAAAAGATATTAATGGGCGGGTAAGATGGTTTGCATCCAGCTTCTTTGACATCTTACCTTTCAGTTCTCCCCATCTTCCCCCAAACCTATGCTTGCCAGCTTTTTATTATTATTAATGATTAAATTAAAATTACCTGCTCTATTCTGATTGGGTACAACAGTTCCTAATAGTCTGTGTTTCATCCAGACCACTGACCAACACAATTTAAAATTTATTCCTAAGTCACATCTGATAGAGACATCAAACTTTTCCATTGAGGAAAGTGCCCTAAAAAAAAACCCTCAGCAAACACACTGCTCAAATTTACGTCCCAACACCCAAGAAACTCAAGCCAGCCTCAGTGTTCTTTTGCATCACTGATCTGGGAAAATAAACCTTACCACAAGGAAAGGGGAAAACAGCAGAAATATACTATTTGGAATGTGAATGTTAGTGGCTGGGGTACCTTGGAAGTATATATATATATTAAAGCCAATCCTGCCTGTCCTTAAATTAGCTTCAATATCTCCCTGGAGAAAGAGATCTTTCATTCAGGTCCCTAGCACTGAATTCTCTCAGGCAAGCCAACTTCCAAACAGGACACCATGATTCTTAGCCAATGCTTGGTCAAATAAGTCCACTCCTAGCCAATGCTTAGAGATGTCAGGTGAAATCTAACTCATTTGCTAGACAATCAAGGAGAATCTTTGTAGCTCAGGGTTGAAATGAGGGGGTCCTTGATGTTCTTCCAGCTTGGTTGCAGATGTTTCATCACCCAAAATAAGGAACATCCTCAGGGCTAGTAACTGATGATGTTTCCTAGTTTGGGAAAGGAAACATCTGCAAGGAAACAACCAAGCTCAGAGAGCACCAAGGATTCCTTACTTGGTGGACACTTTGTTGGAGAAAGCAGATCTAACCCCTTGGGAGATCTGGCGCATTCCATACATGTTGGCCATCTCCTTCTGGAGGGTTCTGGGACCTGGAATGGGATACATTTTGGCCAAGCTCTCCTTGGTCTTAACCACTACGTTTTCTCTGCCACTCTGCTTTGGTTAAGAGGACACTTCAACAATACTTAGAACCGAGGCCAACAAAACATGACAAGTTGGATTGGCACAGGGGGAGGTTGATGTCGGCGGCTTCCGGCTGGGCCCCCTCCTCACCTTGACAGCCTCTGCATGGGTCACCTTGTCCAGCGGCTTGTCGTTGACCTTCAGGATCCGGTCTCCCACCCGAAGGCCCTCTTTGTCGGCCAAGGAGCCCGGCTCCACCAGGGAGACGTAGATGCCAACGCCGTGCTCGGACCCTCCTCGGATGCTGAAGCCCAAGCCTTCCTGAGCTTTTTGCCTCTTGAAGGTCACCTGCCTGACCTCTACTCCAAGGTTCTCCAAACCAGTAGCAGATTCCGCCGGAGCTGTCCCGTCCGCGGTGGTGCTGAATTCTCGACGGAGCCTGCCGGAGGCCAAGGAGGGAGGCCACAAACGGGCCGCCGGGATGGGAGAGGGAAAGCGGGAGGAAGAGGAGGAAGAGGAAGGCGAAGGGAGGACTCGGGAAGACCCGGCGCCCTCCTGCCCTCCTGCCCCAGCGCTGGGCAAGAAGTCCGCCTTTAAGTAAAGCCCCTCCGAGGTGTACTGGTCGAAGAGGAGCTGGTCCGAGCGAGGGATGACCAGGCGGAGCATAGGCAGCAGCTGCCTCTTCTCCGGACCGTCCAGCAGGACTCGGAGCGTCTGCACCAAGTCGTAGACATTCCGCCGGCAGTGGTAGACGTTCAGGCAATGGATGAACTGCTCGCGCTCGCCTTCGCTCAGCAGCTGGTTGAGCGCCCCGTGCAGCTTCCGCACGTTGGCCGACAGCAGCCGGATGCCGGAGCCGGGCCCCCCGCTCCTGACCCCGGCCTGTCCCGCAGCCCCCTTGCCCGCTCCGTCGAAGGAAGGCGAGGAAGAGGCGCTGGAGGCGCGCGAACCCACCGACAGACGGTCCAAGTCTGTGCTCATCGCCTCCGGCCAGAGAGAGAGAGAGGGAGAGGGAGGGAGAGAGACGGATCCTGGGCGGCCGCTGGGGAGCTGGGCATCGGAAGGCAGCCGGACGGCGGGCCGTTCACTTGGGGGGCTCCCTTCTCCTCGCCCGCCTTAGCCGGAAGGGCGGAGGAGCCATCGGGGGGGGAAGCAGAGCGGCCGGAGAAGCGAAAGGAGACGGCGGGGTAGGTCGGCGGAGGGGCAGGCGCGCCTCCGGGGGGGAAAGGCGTAGGCGAGCTGGCTCCTGGCCGGCGTCGCTTCTTCCCCTGCGGCGGCGAAAGTCTCGGCTTGCCCTTTGCGAGAAAAGGAGGGGGAAAGAGAAAGGGCGGGAGGGAGGGAGGGAAGGAGGGAGGGAGAGGGAAAAAAAGAAGAGAGAGGGGGAGAGAAAGAGAGAAAGAAGGAGAGGGGGGAGGGAGGGCAGAAGAAAGGGAGAGACAGAGGGGAAGGAAGGGAGAGAGAAAAAAGGAGAGAGAGGGGGAGAGAAAGAGAGAAAGAAGGAGAGGGGGAGGGAGGGCGGAAGAAAGGGAGAGAGAGAGAGGGGAAGGGAGGGAGAGAGAGAGAAAAAAGGAGAGAGAGGGGGAGAGAAAGAGAGAAAGAAGGAGAGGGGGAGGG